AATTCAGAGACGTGAAATTCTTGCCTGATTGTATTGGATCCGAGGTTGAGGCTGCTTGTGCTGATCCAGCCCCAGGATCCGTAATCCTTCTGGAGAACTTGCGATTTTACCCGGAGGAGGAGGGCAAAGGTGTCAATGAAAAGGGTGAAAAGGTAACTCATTGGTACAAATATATGCTGAATTTCTCGTAAACATCTGCTTGCAGGTCAAAGCTGCCCCTGATGCTGTTGAAAAATTCCGAGCCTCACTGACCAAACTTGGTGACATTTACGTCAATGATGCGTTTGGAACTGCCCATAGAGCCCACAGGTTAGTTAGTTGTTGCTAGCTACGTTTATTGCTCTATAAACTTCACTATTTACAGCTCTATGGTGGGTGTTAAACTTGATACTCGTGCTTGTGGTTTTCTGATGAAAAATGAGCTTGTTTACTTCGGAAAGGTAGGTTGAATTTTTGCTTAGCCGTCTGCTACATCTAAATATGAAATGTCTTATGCTTAAGGCCCTTAGTGATCCAGAAAGGCCTTTCCTAGCAATTCTTGGAGGTGCTAAAGTTGCTGACAAAATCCAGCTCATCAAGAACATGCTGGACAAGGTATTTTTCAAAATACTGACTTTGTACTCAACGCTCACAATTGTGCTTCAGGTCAACGAAATGATCATTGGAGGAGGAATGGCATTTACTTTCCTCAAGGTCGATAAGAACGTCGAAATTGGAAATTCACTTTATGATGAAGAGGTGCGCCCAAGCCGATGACTGCATATGTTGTCGCTGGAGCATGATATAATCAGTGTATGTTTAAGGGAGCCAAGATTGTCAAGGAACTGTTGAGCAAAGCACAGGAAAAGAATGTGAAAATCCACCTGCCTGTTGATTTCGTAGTTGGTGACAAATTCGCAGAAGATGCCACTGACAAAACCACCACTCTTGAAGAAGGAGTGCCTGCTGGTATGTGTATATGAAAATATTTTTTGTAAAACGATTTGTGTTATTTTAGGACACATGGGCTTGGATGTTGGACCAAAGTCACAACAACTATTTGCTGAAGCTATTGGCAGAGCTAAAACCATTGTCTGGAACGGACCACCGGGAGTTTTCGAGTTCGAAAAATTCTCTCACGGAACAAAAGCCATGATGGATGCTGTTGTGAAAGCGACGGAAGGTGGAGCTACCACAATCATTGGTACGTGAGATAACGAATTATTTCTAACATC